TGAACTCTCACCTTATTTCTTAAGGCTGGCTGCTCATATCATCACAGTCCCTGTGATCCACATCTTCAATCTCTCCATAAGCCAAAACTCCATTCCATTTGCTTGGAAAACAGCCTTTGTTCTTCCTTTGCTGAAGGGAGGTGACCCCACCTCACTGAACAACTATTGACCAATCTCTAAACTCTGCATTCTAGCCAAGGTTTTAGAAAAACTGATAAACTCTCAAATCAAAAATTACCTGGACTCATTTAACATCTTACCTCCACATCGATCTGGTTTCAGGAAACAACATAGCACAACCACTGCTTCACTGAAGGTTCTTAATGACATTGTTGAAACACTGGATGCTAAGGATTATTGTACTACACTTTTCTTAGACCTGTCCAAAGCGTTTGACACTGTGGATCATAACATCTTGTGTCATAAGCCCACTGGAACCGGTACTGAAAGCATAATGGAAACACAACCTGTACCGTACCGAGTAGAGTAGAGCCGTGCTGTACCGGCCCGTACCGGTACGAATGGAAAAGGGGCATTAGTTGGTTCTCTAACTATCTCTCAGACCGGAGGCAATGTGTTCAACATAATGGTACTTCCTCCAGTTATTTAACAGTCAACAATGGTGTACCACAAGGCTCAGTCTTAGGACCCACTCTCTTTACAATCTATATACATAACGTAGTTAAAAACATCCCTAATGCATCCATACATTTCTGTGCTGATGACACAGATGTTTATTGTCAAGCTAAAACTGTTGATAAGGCTTTCCAGCTTTTGAAATCTGCATTTAACAACATCCAGACAGATTTGTTCCGCCTCAAACTTGTCCTAAATGCCGACAAAAACAAAAGGATGCTTTTTTCAAATAGGAAGTTGGTCCCAGCAGTTCTTCCTCCAATTTTATCCTCAAATGGTGTCCCCATTGAGTTTGTTGATTCCTATAAATATTTGGGTATCTTGGTCGACTCACATCTCTCTTTTAAGCTCCATGTGGAAAACTTGGTAAAGAAACTGAAAGTTAAACTGGGTTTCTTTTTCAGAAACAGATCCTGTCTAACCCTAAATGCTAGGAAACGCCTTGTATCTGTGACTTTCCTTCCCTCCATTGATTACGGTGACGTTATTTACATGAACGCTCCTACAAGAACCCTGTAGATGTTGGATGCTGTCTATCATGGTGCACTAAGATTCATAACTGGCTGTGATTATCGTACCCACCACTGCACCCAGTATTCACTGATTAACTGGACATCATTAACTTCACGCAGACTCTCTCACTGGTACATTTTCATCTTTAAATCACTTCTTGGTCTGCTGCCTTCATACATCTCCTCCTACATGTCTCTGCGTGAGTGCAGCTACAGCGTGCACTCTCAGGACATTATTACCTGCAGTGTTCCCTCAGTGTGTAAGGATGGTACTTTTCTGTGGCCCGGTTTGTGTCTGTTTCCCTTGTACTCCCTCATTAGTTCCATTAGTGCCACCTGTGTCTCGTCCCAGCTGTTTGTTATCACGTCTCATCTTGTCCCTGTATTTAAGCCATCCGTTCTGTCTTGTTCTTCGTCGGGTCATCTTCGTTGGGTACTCTTCGTTGGGTCTCCTGAGTCTTTCCCTGAGTCTTCCTGGTTCCTCGAGTTCCCCGTGTCTCTCGTGTCTCCTGAGTTCCCCGTGCCTCCTTCCTATGCTCATGTAAGTTTTGCTGCCCCGTCAGCTTCTTTATTTTGTACTTTCGTTTGTCATTAAATTCCTATTTTTTGTAACTCTGCCGAGTTGAGTCCCTGTTCTGCACTCTGGGTTCGCTCCTGACACAAATCCTAACACAGTGAGGACTGAACTAGACAAGAGGGCCTTCTCCTACTCCACTCCTGTTTCCTGGAATATCTTACAAAAAGATTTGAAGCTCTCGACCTTGACCTCTCTAAGTGGCTTTAAGAATCTGTTGGACTCCTGGCAGGGACCAATGCAGACATGTTCCTGTTTTTAGTTTTCTACATTCGCCTTAGAATCTAGCTGTTTTTGTTACCTTTTTTAGCCATCCTATTTGTTTAAAAAAAAAAAAAAATTTTTAATGGAATATGACTTTTTATAACTGTTTATTTTTGTCGCTGTTGTCCATTGTTGTCATCATTCTTTGTTGAAATCAGGTCTCTCTTGTAAATGAGTCCTCGAGGCTCAATGGGATTTACCTGTCTAAATAAACGTTGAATGAATGAATATTGGGCAATTATCATGGCTTCCTGTTCAAGGGGTAGACAATGATCGATCATACTGATTTTGGTGCACCTGGGTTCAAATCTGTGGAATGTAGAACCAAACGTATGGCGACGGCATTACATCTTACTTCGCCACGTCGCGACGCCCACATGCTCCACCCCAAACTGTCAGTGTTGTAAAGCAAGTTACACTAACATGTCTTCGGTCACTGGACACACTATCATGCTGATCAGGTGACAGGGGTCAGATAGGGATCGTTCAAGGTAAAACTTTACACTTCATGTTGTCAGGGGGCATGACTTAAATGATGTCATGATTTGACCATTCAGTCTTGCAGGGGACCGGAAGTGGATCAATCACTGAAGGTTTGATGTCTCAAAAAGTTTTCATGTAGAAGCTATTAGCTTTTCGTTTTTCATGGTGAGATATCAAATTTTGAGCTCTTGCCCTGCCCCTTCAGCATGATCGAAAATGCACCGTTTTGATAACTTTTTGTCTTTCATGCCTTTTGACCAAAATGGCCACGCTTGAAACCAATTGAGCGAAACCCCTAGGAAGAGTTTGTTAAAATGCGGAGGCTGTAAACTGCCAAAAAGGTGTAAAAAAAATGGGCGGACATTCCAAAATGGCTGCCTTCCTGTTTATTCTACAACATTAGTGCCAGAGGGTTTTCTGTGCATCTTGGGGACTTGGACAAGCGTTCCAAATTTCATGCTTCTACGACAAATTAAGGTTAATGCTGAGGTTATTTTGAAATTTTCTAGGTGGCGTTCTTGAGCCATTTCTGTTGCGATTTTTGCCATGCCCTTAAAATCCGTAAATTTTCACCAGTCCTGATGCGTCCGCCAAATTTGGTGAGTTTTGGGATATGTTAAGGCCCCCCAAAACTCCAATTCAGTTGGCAGGAAAAAAATGCAGCTCGGGCCTGAACAGAGCTATTACAATAGGCCTTTGCAGCGCTTCGCAGCGCTTCGCAGCGCTTCGCAGCGCTTCGCAGCGCTTCGCAGCGCTTCGCAGCGCTTAGCTGCTCGGGCCTAAAAATACGTCGAACAGCAGCACAAACTTCACAGTTGAAGTTTTAGCAGCCCTCAGATTCACACACACACACTCACACAAGCAGGAGGTGGGGGGAGCGGGTGAAGGGCTGGGTTTGTATTCAGTGAGGGAGAGGAGGGGCAGTGTGAAGGTACAGACTGGGAGAAAAACTGGCAGATTTTAAAGTATAATTACAACTTTATGTAGAGTATAAGACTGTATAATTTTATACAGTATAGTCTCATTTTATATTGCGTATAAAATTATCTTGATATTTTTAAAATATTGCAATATTGCCTAGGCACAGCCAAAGTGTTGAGGGGATCCGTTTTGGTAGCGTTAGGATTGCATCTCTGCTTTTTGCAGATGATGTAGTCCTATTGGCTTCATCAGATCGTGATCTACAGCTTTCGCTGGAGCGGTTCGCAACCGAGTGCGACACAGCCGGGATGAAGATCAGTGCCTCCAAATCCGAGGCCATAGACTTGAGCCGGAAAAGGGTAAAGTGCCCTCTCCGGGTCAGGGAGGAAGTCCTGCCCCAAGTGGAGGAGTTCAAGTATCTTGGGATCTTGTTCACGAATGAGGGAAAAATGGAACGTGTGATCGATAGGCAGATAGGTGCAGCGTCTGCAGTGAAGCGGACGCAGTACGGGTCTGTTGTGGTGAAGAGAGAGCTAAGTCAAAAGGTGAATCTCTCAATTTACCGATTGATCTACATTCCTACCCTCATCTATGGTCATTAGCTTTGGGTTGTGACCGAAAGAACGAGATCTTGGATACAAGCGGCCGAAATGAGTTTTCTCCGCAGGGCGTCTGGGCTCTCCCTTAGAGATAGGGTGAGAAGCTCGATCATCCGGGAGGGACTCAGAGTAGAGCCGCTGCTTCTCCACATCAAGAGGAGCCAGTTGAGATGGCTTGGGCATCTGGTTAGGATGCCTCCTGGATGCTTCCCTGGTGAGGTGTTCCGGACATGTCCCACCGGGAGGATACCCAGAGGAAGACCCAGGACACGCTGGAGGGACTATGTTTCTCGGCTGGCCTGGGAACCGCCTCGGGATTCCGCCAGAGGTGCTGACCCAAGTGGCTGGAGAGAGGGACGTCTGGGCCTCCCTACTTAAGCTGCTACCCCCGCGACCTGACCCCGGATAAGCGGAAGAAAATGGATGGATGGATGGATGGATGCGATATTGCCCACCCCTACTGTAATGTACTGCAACATTTTACTCACCAGCTCTACAGAACAGCAGCTCAGTTCCGGTTCAGCAGACCTACACTGCAGCAACAAAGCCCACCGCCCCATTCAGGTTGATGTGCACATGGATAATTGAGCTTCAGGATTATCTGCGACTTTCCTGCCAGGTCTGTGAACTTAATAGAGAGCATAGATTTTCATTGCATCCATCCATTTCGGCAGAAAGCAGCGGCTGGGAGCACTGTTGGCTTCTGGGTGGTGTAGTTCTTTTGACTTGCGTTACATATAGGCTTATTGAAAGAAATCTACAAAATGGCGGCACCTGTCCAAAGGTTGATTTTTTTTTAAATAACTTTTTATCTTGTACCATCCCAGTCACGTGAGTAATATTAAAGATGACAATCATTGAAAACCGCGAAAGAGCAAGTCCGCGAAAGTCGAACCACAAAGTAGCAATGGACTACTATAATCTCTTGTAAATTGTTTTGAGAAGCTCAAGCTCTCTCACATGAGACATGACTGTAGACTTTCCTCTCAGACTCTGCTCTCTGTCCTGCAGCTTCCTGTACAGCAGCTTCTGCAGTTCCAGCAGCAGCAGTTGTTCCGCTCACAAAAACCACCGGTGACTGCGCACAGCCGGTCCACAGGTTATCTTCTGTTTACTTTGTTCATGGAGGTGCTACATTTCTTCTGTTTCCTTCTCATGACTGACAGCTTGTCAAGTATCGGCTGTTGTGTTTACAGTGTTAGTAAAATAACTGATGAACAACAGAAGTGGTTTTAATGAAACAGAAAATTAAATAATTATTGTAAATAAATCTACAGCTAAGTGAATTTAACTCAGTCAATTTTACAGATATTTAACTGAAATTTGGCATCATCATTCCAGACATGTACATTCAGCATTAACTTATAGCTGAATATGTTTTTGAAACTTTGCTATTGACTATTGGAGTCAACTCTGTCCTTTAGCTAAATATTTCATGAACCATTAGATACATCTTGATAAAAACTTTGGACTAGGTGTACATATCTACAACTGATTCACTTCTAGAGCCGACCCAGTTCTTACTGACCGTCATGGCTAACTGACTTTTGGAAACACAAAAATGTTTTCATCATTTTTACAGATATTGAGCTTGCTGAGAGTTATCTCCAATATTTATGCTGTTAGCTAGCAAATTGTGCAGCAACTTTGTCTAAAACTTGGCAATAACTGTTGGAGTCAGCACTGTGTTTGACTGTTAACAAAATATTTCACAAAGCAATGGATGGATTTTAAATATACGTTTAGAAATTATTGGTTGGACATACATCTAGAAGTGATCAGTGTTTGGAGTATATCGAATGAGATTGTGCATAACATCCACAAAGTTTCACCAAACAGCTGTCTCATTAGAGGAGGCCCAGTATTCATTTAAGGAATTCTTTGTTTTTTTCTTCCAGCCTGTCTCAATCCTGCAGAGATTCAGCAGATATGGAAAGAACTGAAATCTGGAAGAACTGAAGATAAAACTATTCTCAAAAGTAACCAGGACTCTTGTGATCAGAAAATATTATCAGAAGGAGTCAAAGCGACTGTGACCAATGACCAGGTGTCTCCTCACAGGACAGAGTGGTAGGATCCTTTTTAAAGATACTGTCACTCAAACAATGCTACCTTTGTGTAAACTTCAAAACCTCATCATCTTCAGATTTGTATTTTCGTGGTGGGGCCGGATACATTTGGTTTTCAGGCCTCACTTTCAGTTCCCTCTGGGACAGTGTGATCTGTGTTGTTGTCATTTGTTTTTTTGGGTTGCCCCCTCATCCCTGCAGCTATTTCTACCATTTTAGACTCCCTGCAAAGAAAGCAAAACTCTCCTGTTTGTTGTCTCACTGCTGTCGTTTTAAAGTGTCTGTGACATCTACATTTAACGATAAATCATCCATCCATTATCTTTTACCCCCTTCTTCCATTTTGGGTCACGGGGATCGCTGGTGACCATGTCCAGCAACCACTGTGCAAGGGGCGGGGTACACCCTTGACAGGTCTCCAGTCCATCACAGGGACACATAGAGACAAACAAACATTCACTCTCTCTCACACCTAGGGACAATTTAGAGTCACCAATCAGTCTAACATACATGTTTTTGGTTTGTGTGAGAAAACTGGAGTACCCGTAGAAAACCCACACATGCACGGAGAGAACATGCAAACTCCACCCAGAAAGGCCCCCGAACCGGGATTTGAACTGGGGACCTGCTGTCTGAGAGGCAGCAGCTCTACCAGTTGTGCCATCGTGCTGTCCGCAATAAATCGTGATAATAATAAATAATAATGCATTTTTGCAAAGATAATATAAATTTTTTTAAAAAGCACATTGCTGTGAGTACAACTAATATTGTTTCAATGTAAAAAAAAAAAAAAAGATCAGGAATTTCCCCATTTTAAAGAGTTCCCCTTCCCCTTTCATTCGATATACTCCAAACACTGATATCTACTTTGGCAGGCCAAGTTAATAGAAAAATAAATGGACTGTACTTACAGTATATAGCTCCTTTCTATCTTATCAAGACACTAAAAGCTCTTTACAACACAATCTGTGCCCTCATTTACCCATTCATACAGCACTCTACTAGATCTATGCAAAGACTAATCAGAGCTTTATCACATTCATACACTGATGGGACACACATCAGAGGCAATGAGGGGTTCAGTGTCTTGCCCAGGGACACTTCGGCATGTGACTGCTGGTGGAATTGAAACCCCTAACTCTCCCATTGGAGGACGACTGCTGTAACCACTCTGTCACAGCTGCCCCAAAAAATACCTGTTGCATGACAAAAATGGTGGTATCATGCATATTATGACTGATTTCTTAAATATTAAAATGTTTTCTTCCACCTCATGTATTTGTGTGACATGCATGTCACAAGCACTGTACTGACATTCTCTTCCTCCTTACTCAGCTCTACTAACAGAGGTCCAGCTGCTGCACACCTCTTTGCTCATGGAATGTGTAACTGGCCTGGTTGTGAGTCAGTCTGTGAAAACTTCAGCCAGTTCATCAAGTAAGTCTGATGCTAGAGAAGTAAAAGATAAATATACGCATAGCTGAACCTTGTAAACAGTGTCCTTTTTTAGAGGTATTCAAGTCTTGGTTTACTTTGCTACATATGAACATTTTCAGATTTCCAGAGATTACTGGTCTGGTTTGCATCATGTAACCTTTGAGGTTTATCAACAGGCTTTGGGGGCTGTTTGCCTCAGGAGACCAACAGCTCATGTTTCTTCACTGTAGATTTCATTAAAGTGTTATAAAAGCAACATTATTAAATCATTTTACAGATTACACCAGTTTAACTTCCATAATTAAAATATTCTGGCTGCCCCTTACTGTTACACAACTCTAAACCATAATTGATCCATCTTCATATTTGACATAGGAATTTTCTGTTTTTTACTCATTGCACAGAAGAAAAAAATTCTGTAGGCTACCATTTGAAATTTTTTGATAAAACATCAAGTTTCTGATTCTTTCTTGTATCATTTTTGTAAAGTGCACACATTTTTTTAAGCAACTGTACTAATGTTCATTCAACCTTTATTTCTACAGGTTAGTCTCATTGAGCCTTGAGGACTCATTTACAAGAGAGACTTGTTTTAAACAAAGAATGATGACAACAGTATAGACAATCATAAAAGAAGGCATATAAATTGAAAAAAATAAATGGAAAAAAATTATATGTAAAAAAAGCAGCTAGGTTGTAAAGCAATGTAGAAAACTAAAAACAAGAACTGGTCTGTGTGGGTTTTTGCAATGAACTTAGCAGATGTTTGAAGCCACTTAGAGAGGTCAAGGTCAAAAGCTTCAGATCTTTTTGTAAGATATTCCAGGAAACAGGAGCGGCGTAGGAGAATGTCCTTTTGCCTAGTTCAGTCCTCACTGAGGGAACACTGCAGGTAATAATGTCCTGAGAGCGCACGCTGTAGCTGCACTCTTGCACTCACATAGTCTTGTATCATTTTGTATTATTATTTTTATAATAGTTTTGTATTATTGCTATGCTTAGAATGCAACACAAAAAAAAGCTAAATAGGGCAGATTGTCTACAAGATATCTTGTATCCAGTCAAAAAAATAAATAAAACACAAAAACCTCAGGATTTATATTATCCTATCATCATCATAACCTTTATTTAACCAGGTTTGTCCCATTGAGATCAAAAGATCTCTTTTACAAGAGAGACCTGGCCAAGACTGACAGCATACAGAGAGAGGGGGAAAAAACACTCAGTAAAAAACACAGTTACAACACATAGACAGAATAAACAAAGACTTAAATATCAAATGACTCAATTAAAACAATTACACTTCTACAACTTCAGTCAAAATGGATCTATCATGGTATTAAATACATTCAGAGATACTAGTGTTCCAAGTTTAAGCTTTGATTGTAAACTATTCCATGAGGTTGGAGAAGAAAAGCTAAAGGCTTTCTTGGCCCTTTCTGTTCTGACACGAGGATTAAAATAAACTAAAATTTAAAAAGTCTTGAGACCGGAGGCTGTAGGTCGTGTTGTTTAAAGTTAACAAAGATGAAAGATAAGGTGCTGTCAACTTAAGAATAGCCTTGTAAATCAAAACATACCAATGGCCAAGCCGACGTACATGTAGAGACGGCCATTTTACCTTATCATACAAGAGACAGTGATGAATTGGGGCGCTATAATTTGTAATAAACTGCAAAGCGCCATGATACACGTTATCCAGCATGTGAAGACATTGAGCAGAGGCGTTCATGTATAATACATCACCATAGTCAATAATCAGAAGAAAAGTTGACTCCGCCAATTTCTGTTATACCCTAAAAGAAAAGCAGGATTTATTCCGAAAATAAAATCCAAGTAAAAGCTTCAGTTTATTTACAGTAAACTGAATACGTGCTTTAAAAGACAATTCCTCATCAATTAAAAATCCCAGATATTTGAAAGAAGATACAAGTTCAATTTGTTGGCCATCACTAGTGGTGATGAGAGACTGGTTTGACCTTGCTGATGTTGAGTTGCTGAAAAACATTAGCTTTGTTTTGTCAACATTCAAAACAAGTTGAAGCTGACAAAGTTGTTCTTGTATTTTGTTAAATGCATTCTGCATATATGCAAACACTTCTGTGGGCATAGGTGCAAAGCAATAAATGACTGTGTCATCTGCATAAAAATTAATTGCTGCATTTGAAATATCCTTTCCAAAATCATTAATATACAAGATAAATAACAAAGGGCCCAGTACAGAACCTTGTGGTACCACCTTGTGAATAAACGGAACTCCAGAACAAAAACCATCTAACTGGACAGCCTGGGTTCTATATTTAAGATAGTTTGCAAACCATCCAACTGTATGTGTAGAAAACCCAACACATATGTTTTGGGGACAGGCAGAACTTAATGACATCTACCTTGAGTCTGTGTTGGTCCACTTGGTTCCAAAATGTCCAAATTACATGGCCACACCGATGGAACATGACTGAGTAAAATCCCCGAGATCTGATCCATTCTGCCCAAAGCATTTGAGTCTGGGTACTTGAGGCATGAACCAAGCCATAATAAAGGCAAGCAGCGTGATCGGGTCCAAATTTGCGGCCGATGACTTCCTTGGTTGTTGATAAAACCAGCAACAAGTCGAATCCAAAAAGTAGGAAACAGTTATTGTAAATCCAATTATAAATGTGTCCTTAAAATCCACAAATGGCAGCGTCGATGAGATATCCAGTTGCGTGCGTGCCAACAGCGCAAATTGGCTCACCTAAAATCCTGTCTTCTCTTCGAAGAAATGTTATCAATTGTGTTGAGGGACCAACTGATCAAAACAAGTCCATAACTTAATAATTGACTAAATAAACTGTTCAAAGTGTTCTTGAGTAAGAATAAGATAATCTAATGCCTCTACATTTGTATACGGGTAAGTAGACAAAAGGGTGTGTAGGCTAATGATTAAATGTGGAAGTAAAATAAAGCATGCACTAAAAAATGTTTTGGGTGTAAAGATAAGTAAACAAAAATTTAGAAACCCAAAAAAGTTCAATCTGGTCCTCTGGACATTCAAAAAAACAAAAAATAAAACAAAGCAAAAAAATATAGAAACGTTTCGTCTCTCATCCAAGAGACTTCCTCAGTCTGAGGTGCTGTTTTCAGCTCAGTCTCTTAAATAGCACCTTCTTAGAGTGGATCAACCAGTTTGCTGCTGACAACCAAAACCAGCTGATCACATGCTCATGGCTGATGGTCCTTCTTGAGCATGTGATCAGCTGGTTTTGGTT